AACGAACATGACGAGTTGGCCGCTTTTGCTGATTGGATAGCGAGCATTGGAGATGGAACATTGAGGGGTAAAAATGATGGATGTTCTCCGATAGACATACCAAATGATCTATTACTAGAGCCATCTGATGATCCAGTTGCAAAAATTGTTGAAAGCACATTTTCGATGTTCAAGAATGCAACTGACGATTCAAGATACTTGAAGGATAGAGCTATACTTGCGCCAACACTCGATATCGTAGAATCTATTAATGAATACATGTCGTCGTTAAATTTGACTGAGGGACGCACGTATTTAAGTTCATACAGTACGTGTAAATCTGACTCCAATACCGACTTTGTGGCACAACTCCATACTCCTGAGTTCTTGAACACTATCAAGTGTTCTGAACGTTGAACCATGAATTGAATTTGAAGGTCGGAACTCCAGTTATGTTGTTGCAGAATATGGATCACTCAATGGGACTCTGCAATGATACACGATTAGTTGTGACTAAACTCTTCAATCATGTTATCGAGTGTAAAATTCTTACTGGCGATCATGCATGTGATAAAGTTTTGATACTTCGGATGACAATAATCCCTTCTGATGTTAGAGTACCATTCAAATTTCAAAGAAGACACTTCTCCATTATGGTTTCGTACGCAATGACTATAAACAAGAGTCAAGGTCATGACCAGTTATATGTCGTTGTCTCCCGTGTTACTAACAAAAAATGGTCTGAAAATTTTAATTTGTGGAGAAGAAGGTTCTGAAAGAAAATCAAACCAATAATGTTGTGTATAGAGAAGTGTTTAATAATATATGATTTTTGTTTGTATTTTGTATTCTTCTATCCTCTTTCTATTGTAACTAAATTATTAATTTATAAAAAAATATTTAAAATAAAGTTTAAAAAAAAAAGTTTGAGGAAATGACTTCGCCGTGCTGCGCACGAGTACCATACTAGTTACTTATAATATGTTATGTACTCTCCTTTTCTTACTGTCCCCTCTCAGTCTTTCCTTTCCCCTCTCTCCTTCGACCTTCCATCTCTCTCAAACAGAGCCAGTTGCCCCTTGCCCCTTCTCTATTTTTCTCTCTCAAAAACCCTCACACAGAGCAAGCTGTAAAAAGGCCTTTAAAAAAAAAAAAAAAGGAACTAAAATGAGAGGGCCGTTGGGGCCTGTGATTGGCAAGTACCCATCATCAAGTGATGTTAATGGAGTAAATGGGAATGTGAATAATGGCGATATCATAAAGCACAACAGGAAGTGCAGAGATTTAGCGTTTCTTGTCATATTCATTGCGTTTTGGGTGGCAATGATTGTTAACTCGAGCTTTGCTTTCAACCAAGGAAACCCATTGAGGTAAAAATGGCGATGGGAAAAAAAAAAAAAATGGAAAATAGCTTGCTTTTGCTTTTTTTCGTTTTTCACTTTGTTTTTTTGCAGACACCATTTGTTGATAACTATGGATGGCTCCATAAGCCGAGCCATCCGATTGCTCCCTAACAAAACCGTCTTGGTTCATGAGTTTTTTCTGCTTTAAGCACTTTGCTACTCTGGTCTGATGGTTTTAGTTATTTTAAGGGGTGGAATTGGTGTGTTTTCCTACTGTTCGAGTTGAAACAAATTGTATCTTTATTTGGGTTTTATTTATGATGTATATTGCCATTTTGGGGTGTTGGAGCTCTAGTTTCTGTGTAATGTTAATTGGTGGTGCTGGAAAGTTTAGACTGAATTCTTGTTGGTTGCCTAAATTTCATATCTTTAATTCTTCTGCAATGTGTTACAATGAGATGTGAAAATTTCCTTTCTTTCCGGACTGACATTCGGTTACACTTGGACTCGGGACGACGTTCGTTTTTCTCCACTTCGTTTTTCTATTCAAACTGTCAACAGTGTTTGATGTCTATTTAAACTTTTGTTTAATGTCTATTCTGTTTCCATTTCGATTAGTGTAGAATTATTTTCTGTGTGTTTATGATTTGGAAGGTTAAACTATGGGCTGGATTATGAAGGCAATGTATGTGGCGATAGACATGCTGACCGCGATCTCCGTGAATTGGAGCTAAGATATTGGCTGAACCCTAATCAAGTTTACCAAACTGGTGTAAAGGGCAGCAATTTCGAGCTCTCAAATGCCCGGAGCATATGTTTGCTTGATTGTCCGATTCCTTCAGAGGACTCGCTTAATTGGGTATGTGATTATCCAGAGGGAGATGTTCGTGTGTCGATGGACGATTGTATAGATAGAAATTATGATTATTTTGCGGACCTCACTCCACAGCTTAGAAACAGCTCACTTCAGCTTCAAGG